TTGTTGTGCAGATTGGACTCGTCGTGCTGGCAATCGTTTTGGCGCCACCAGTGCCCGAGTTGAATCATGATATTTCTAAAACGCACACATATGCACACTGCGCCCCCGGATCATTGGCGTTGGAATTGTCGACAAGCATTTATACGTGGTTGCTTTGCGGCGTGTGTCTCGTTCAAGCCTTCAGAGCACGCAAGCTACCGAATAATTTCAATGAGGCGAAATTCATCACATTTTCAATGATGATGTATTTCAGTGTCTGGTCTATTTATTACCCTGTATCTTTCTGGACATATGGAAAACTCAAAGCACTATCACAAACTGTCGTTGTAATTGTTTCTACCACTGGGATACTCATTTGCATGTTTTTTCCCAAAATTTACGTAATTGTCCTAAAGCCTCAATTGAATACGAAATCGGCCATTCAGCAGAGCGTTACGCAACATACACATAAATCGACACGTGAGGTGGGTTCTACAACACAGGGAAGCAAACTCAAAGACATAGAAGACAACGGCATATCCAATACAAGAATTTTAGTAAAGACATGTCAGACTTAAAATCGAACGAAGAACGGCAATGTTCACTAGAGGGAGAACGACATACGACAGTGAGCGTGGTTACAAAGCCAGATAAGAGAATGAAAACCATTGAAGGTGATTGCGATGGTCCGACACCGAGCGAATCAAGCACTATTGCTTCTCCTACGCAAACCGTTTCTGAATATGATGGAGAAATTAACGTAGTTTTCGAAATATAATGACGCATTTAGTATGAATGACAATACTTAATAATAATATGGATTTCTAAACACAATGTATGCCACATGTCCATGTTCCGTTACACAATTTGCACTTGAATGATCGTACACATTTTTTTACCCTAATGGCACCTTTAACTTTCTAAATGAAAACAAATATATTGTAAGTTATTGCCAATGCAATTGTGTACGTGTATTGCTGTTTCATACATTTGTTGTAAATTATATTAGATAGATTAGCTTGTTCCTACAGTAATATTATACATATTTTAATTCACATCCTAATAATAAATAATACATATATTGTAACGACATTTTCCCATCATTTGCACGCTAGCTTTATTATACAAAGTTGTGAATGAATAAATGGCTCGCACCCCGTCGATAAGGTTCTCGATAAACGTTCATCCCATCCGCAATATGTGATTGAGACATACTCTGAAAGTTGCTAAGTCTGATACTATAATAACATATACATCACTTAAACCTTGGATATAGGCAATAATTATTACGGTGGTAAATACGCCGTACCAATGTTTGTCTAAAGATTACCTAACTGCCGATTTCCTTTGAGTTATGTCTAGACATTGCCGTTTCTTTATGATAAATTCAATCATTCTGATTTGTAATGCAAATAATTAATGTTTTCGTTTTCCTGGGGATTTATCTTATCAAAGGAGTTTTCCAAACATGATAGATCAATGGAGATAAATCAAGAAGGGGTAGAGATTGAAAAAAAAATATGTTAATTGGAAATTTTAAATGTCTGGCGGTGAGTGTAAAAATACTCATCTTGTGTTGTGTATGTGTGTATATAGATTCACTAAAACCACGTTTAGGGAAGTCGGGACATTAAAGAGACCTTTCTATTTTTACAAGTATTTCAATTTTTAGTACTTCTAATCACAATTGCAAATAATGAAAAATAAAGCAATATTTGTACAACATCTGAAGCAGCTCTGGAAAAAGCTAAGATGAACTCATTTGAATAGAAAGTTGAAACCAATCAATCGCTATTCACGTTTGTTCTATTCTTCACTGTACTGCATGTGGTTGGCTGACAAAGGATGTAGAACACAAAATATAAGTTTGAAAGGTTACACACGAACTAATTCCTTCTCAACTACTCCATGTTATATTCAACAACAGTTGGGCGAGTAATCTAAAACTTGTATTCAAGTATTTGTTGGCAGAGGGAATCCAAATGTAATTTTTATTTCTATAAACCACGTACATATAAATATACTGACTATGTGAATTTGATCCGAAATTTTATTAGTAAACTTAAGCGATTTCTGACTAGTTGAAGTAACACAAAATAGTTGAAACAGCTAATCAGGTGGCATTTGCACTACATACGTCATTTTTTTTTAAAAAAACAGTGATTCTATATTGCAATTTTCTACAACACTGACTGAAGGTCGAAATTATCGTGATTGTTGATCTGAGAAACATATGCAATGAACAGAATGTCATTTTGGATGGAGTGGTTTTGAGAAGTTGAATGTCATGTATTTGTTTCATCTGAAATAAATGAATGACCTGTATTTCTAAACCATGACTTCATATTATGTTTGTGTATTACAATAATTAGGTAATTGAATTAAAAATCAACCTGCACGAACATGTTGTAACATCTTGTAGATAATTCGTGGAAGTCGTTTTCACAAATTTTAAAGTCAACGACAAGATCAAACATACACTAGTAGTCTTATTGACGTCTATTTTAAGAAACGTTTGCTTAAATTGATGCCTAAGGGTGTCTTAAAAATGGAGCAATAACATTTATTTTTTAGTAAAACGAGTTACTAATGTGTGTTTTATAACAGTTTATAAGAGGGGAGACAGAAAGCACAGCCTACCCAAGATGCCTTGTGTGTTTAGCCGCTACGTCTACGTGCCGTCTCCCCAATCGAAGGGTTTTAACGAGCAACAGATTTATCTATTTTAAGTAAAACAAATTATTATGTGTATTTTAGTGTTATTTGCTATTTTCTATTAGCTATTACAATTTCTTTAGTCAGTAATTTCAAAATGTTTTTTTAATTTATTTTCTGCATCATGAGTTGCGTCGTTTGTGCACAGATGTGTTAGATTCACCATTTGTGGGCGGTATTGTGCATAGTGTTCATATTATTTGTAAATCATATTCTTAAACATAATATATTTGACCGTAGCTGCATTGTGTACTTAACTAATTACCTGAATTAGTTAACGTTATATAATGAAGTTTAGTGCTTTTAATTATTTCAACAAGGTGATTGTATTATTCGATGTGTATCGTATATAATGTTGGTTTCATTAAATTGTTTATTTAACCGGAAACGTGTTGTTATATTGCATTTTATGTAGGTCCGAGTGGCCCAGTGTGTGTACTGTTTGTGTGTGTGTCCGTCATATGTTAGCATCGCCGCTTGTGAAATGTTCGAAGCCCGTAGTTTATACCTCCAAAAAATTTGAATGTGATGATAATTGTTAGAGGACTATGATATAATATAATAAAAATATTTGAAGTGTGATTAAACAGCTACTTATGAATGAGACAAATCATGTATGTTATTATTATTATTAGAAGGGTAAAAGAGATCTTGCAGTGCAACCCTTTACAAATTGTTTGTTTTGTTCGGTATACTAATACAAATATTGACCCAAACCGCATAATATTTCTATATTATATAACTATGTGTTTATTAAGGAGAGTCAGATGAGTGCGGATAGACATACTGTTTAAATATTTTAATATAGTCATGGGTGTGAAGAATCCACAATCACAGATTCATTCCAAGGTATTTCTTAATTATTCCCTCTGTGTGTCCGTGCGTTGGTACGTGCGTGCTTCCGCACTTGTCCGGTTTCGTTCAAAATTCACACAACATACACATATGCGTATGCATTTGTTTCATTGTTTTATTCACAATGGCCGAACAGAAGCCATTTTAGTGCTAACAAATATTCAAATATAAAATAACAAATATACAGCATTTCTTCCAATTCCGGAACTGACTCTCAGTCATGCATGGTCATATTTCGTTCAAATTTGGTAAGTCCGTGAATATAATGGCTCCTTGATGTAAGTCTCATGAGTGTAAATAATTATTTAGCAATGGATGTAGACAGTCACGGTTGTTTTTTATCATAATCACGTGTCAGCTGTGCTGACAACATGAATCCTGCCTTACTTTCATTTATTTTTAATTATTTTTATTATTTTTTGCGGTGACTTTAATAGATAATTATTAATTAAGCTAAATACATTTCATTTATAGCCTATTTTTTTTTTTTTTTTTTGTTCTTTTCTGTTTAAAATTCGTTCTTTTATATAGTGACTATTTCTATTTGTAGTCTTGTACTGTGTTTTAATCAGGCCCGCGTGTTCCCAGTTCCCAGTGTTATTGCTTCTGAAATGCCAGAGATCGCATGTAGTTAGTTTATACGTTAACAAATCATAAGCAGTTATTTCGAAAAAGATAACAAAATATAAATACACATGAATTATTGTGATGAGACAGCCATTTGTGAAAAGAAAAAGGTTGCCAATTGAAATATTGCCCATTGAAACTGCGTATATCACAATGCAGCCTTCCACAAAGTGTTTGTAATATTAGTAGAAACGATACAAATATTACTCATATACAGATCTGTCGATTGTATAGCAAAACAGCTATGCAATTTGTAACCTTGCCCAGGAGGGATTATTCTCGCGATGTCAGATAGTAAAGCGGAAGGGTCGTCACGGTAATTGAGTCTTAAAGCGGGGGAGTCGTCACCTGCGCATGTGTCAGATGGCCATAGCGTGTCATTGTTTACAAACAATCGTCAACCCATGAGCCTTTGCGTTTTTAGCGTGTGTTGTTATTTGTTATTGTCGCTTGGGGTTAATTCCCGCGCGTGCGCAGGCCGTCGCTTTAAGCGACGGTAACAACACACGCAAAAACGCAAGGGATCATTGGTAGACGCTTGTTTGTAAACAACAATACTCTGTAGCCGTCTGCCGTCTGGGCAGACGGCGACTTCACCGCTGCGAAGTTGAAAACAAATTTTCAAATTTCATTTTCGGGTTTAATACTTTGCGTTCAATATATCATAATTCGCCGTCATTAGAATTCTTATAAATCTATTGATGTGATGGAAATAAACAAAAACAATCGCCACTAGATGCACCTCAGTGGGCATCAATTTCAAAAGCTTGAACGTTTTGTTGTAATAATTAAAACGGCGAATTATTGGGATTTTAGCATCGCCCGCCTGCACGGTGTTGTTCCGTTCGAACATTCCTCCCTCTACAACCCCGTGTGGTAACTCCATTCATAACCTTGTATGTCACGTGGTTGCGCGATAGATAGGGCTTTGCATTTCTGATGCCTTGTGTCGTCAAAGGAAGGGCTGTCTCGGAAAGGACGCCGACCTGCAGCGTCAATGGTTCCGATGTATCCATCTTCGGCTTCATTTCTGCCGATATATGTTGCAGTGACATCATGAGCTTTGAGATATAACACCTACTTTTCTATAATACTGAAAAGTGGCGACAACACTATTACCACGCTCAGTGGACGCAAGGCTGGCAAAGTATAATAACATAATGATTTACCATTTCCAGTGCAACTAAAAACGAACACATCAGACTCGAAACTAAGGACGGTCTGAGTATATGTGAGTTGAATGATGTATGGATATCGTCGTTGTATTGCCTAGACATACAAGACAACACAGCTTTCACTGTGCGCAGCGACGTTTATTCTCGGGGCGAGTATTTTCACCGCCTGGCAACATTGGTGAAACAAAGGCCACAAACTCTCAGAAAACGGTACTATGGAATGGGATGAACCGTGTAACAAGGTTTGGGTGTTTAGAATTACTTCAAAGTTAAGTTTGTGCCGTTTTCTCGATTTTTGTTTTTTCAACAGCTTGCACAGAGCCCATAGACATACATGGCAGAATGGTGCGCATCTTAGATTTTGATAACTTGGCCAAGCGCGTTTATGAAAGAAGCAATATGATTGGCTGTGGGTGAACTGATTCTAAATTGTGAGCGCACTATCACATACACACAGTCATAATCAAATACTTAAAGCTTCAAAGTGATAGTGGAGTGCTTCGCCTGAACATTCACCTTGGAAATTCAAGATGGGTTTCAGAAGACCTTGGCACCGTTTGCACCATTTGGAAATTGATACTTTGTCCTAATCTCAACTTCGTTAATGCAGAATAACAGAATATCAGAATGGCCAACATATGCCACGAATTCAAAAACTTGGTGACATGATAGTTTCATATTATTAAGCGCATCAAACAAAATAATCCAACATTAGAATGAATGAACATGCCCACTGAATTCCCATAATGAGTAAAATGTCACATTTCGAAGGCAAAGGCAGTGAAATTTCGTACAATTGTTTTTAGAATACAAAAATATTTTCTCTAAATTCAAAAATTACCTCTGCCGAAACACACCACACATATATCACCATAACACAAATTATTGAATATTTAATTTGACCTGGAGTATGATTATCGCCAGAAAAACAAACAAAGTTCACAAAAACATTTTATCCTGTTAGCTGGTACTTGGTTTTGAAAGTAATTCAAACAGCAGAAGTTGAAATATTATATTCGTGAATAATACACTGCAAACATAATGAGTTGAAATTGATTGGAGTCAGCTTTATGAAGTGACAATATCTCTAGTATAGATATTTTTGTGTGGGGGTTATAAAAATATTGTTCACTTCTTTGTCACATACTTCCATGTAATTGAAATAGAGTATTTTGTTTTCGTTTCTAGTGGTAACAACTCAGACCGATGTAAGCAACACAGGTGGAATAGATTGTTTGTTGGCTCTAAATACGAACACGTGCTGCGCAACGACCATAGCCATTCAATGATAACACCCGTGAAACCCGATCATCTTGGCCCTGGATACAGTCAATTGCACTTTCTTACCTCTCCATGACAACAAACAAAAGTATCATTTTTATTTTTTATTGCAGAAAAAATAATGCACAGGTTTATATACTTAATACCCTGCGTTAATACTAATATTATTATTACGATTTCCGTTCTCTGCAATTCTACTTGAAATCGCATCACGAATTTTGTCTGTACCAATCGTATACATGTACATTTTGAAAGACTTTACAAATAAAACGCTGTTATACCCTGGGTAATTATACCATTATCCCTATGAAACAGGCGATGTTTAAGGTTGTAATGATTTTCTCAGAAAAATTTAAAAATATTTCAAAACACACACAGTTACCAGTAGTAAATATCAATTAAGTGCGGCGTTTACAAAGTATGGGAAACATACTTGTCATATATTTAGCGTATATATATAAAAAAATATGTTTCTCATAATTCATAAACACACATATTATCATATGCATTTGTCTTTCACAGTCTTTGCATTCGTTAGTTTTTCTAAATTTTTCACGTTCAAAAGAACGCAGTAAATCACATACTTACAATGATACTTGCACTGGAATAGGTCAATTCTTTAAAACACAGATTGTCCGTAGCCATGACTTATGGTACGACTATCATATAATTATCATTATCAAACACGATGCTATGTAAACAAATAATTGAGCGATTGTTACGCGTACATCCTCGTGAAGAATTGAAAGTGGGTATGAATTATTAGTTATAGTTCGAAATAGTTCTCAGAATTCACATAAGCCAATGTTTTAACCATATTATTCGCTTTAATTTGAGCTTCAATCGTCGACATCATTAGTGTTAGTTCAAACTGGGCGCGAGTTTTACGCATGAGATTACGCCGTTGTGTAGTTAGCCTTTCGACACTATACTTTGAATGTATCTCTAGCTGCATGTTGATAATTACCTACTGGGTCGTTCCATTCGGAACTTCTAGTTCGTCTTAGTTTTTCTAATTGGTTTACATTGCTACAAGGACACAATTATGTCAGAATATAATTGGCATAACTCCTTAGTACGATTAATATAGTCACAGTTGGGATAACGACAGCTGAGCGCATCGTCGGGAAGAACAAAGTTACGTAATAGTTCACCCGATTTTAAATGATATTGGTTTAAGTCGTTCGAAGTCGCGTAGCAACAGCACAATGTGTCATCATCCAATCACATAAAAGTGTCATGTCATCTGTTTTATATTTCCCAATCAACAACATGTATTCTATCACAGAAAAGATAAACCACGATCACATAATTGTATAAATTTGCTCACATTACATTATAACACATTACCGCAGTATTGAAGCAGCATTCAACTAACATCGTTACGCCTAAATTTGTTCGTGAACTGATTTTTCAAACATTGGGCCTCCTTGCTTTACATTTGCAATTATGTATGTTGATATTGCCACCTCCTCCTAGCAATCAATCTGTCGCGGCTTGTCATATTTCTACCACGGCTCTCATGACACACTGGAGTGCGTTACTGTCACTGATAATACCTCCACGACTGACACGTTTAACCTGTTTCCGCTTCGGTATTATCAACCACAATCACGGATGCAACACCTTGGCAACCCTACCATCTATATTACAAATAATTAACGATTTATCGCCATACGAAGATGTGTAACATGTTATCACCGAAACACCGAAATCTGACGGTTTTCACATTTTTGCGTAATAGTTAAATATAGACACGGTTTAGAGTGAGTGCATCAGTTGTTAGACGACACATTTACCACATACTAATGATATGGTTCTATTCCGTGATATAGTACAATAGCTAACACAGCAAGAAAAAGACGACTTGCTTGGTAAATTATTGTTATTTTTATTGTAATTGAAACAATTGACGGCGAGAATTATCCTAATGTGTACTTATTATTTAAATATATAGCAAGCGTCGCATGACCATAACTCATCGCTGGATAGACGTTCATTCAATCGCTGCTGGTTCTGAATTTGTGATGTCATATTCTACCTGCTTCCTTTTATTTTCACTTTTGGGTTTACCGTTTTTCTATAGCATTTCCGTTGTAATATATTTTCACATATAAACCATCACAAGCGAAGTCACGTGGTTTAGTTATACTTACACGTAAAACAGGGTAAACTTTTTCTCCAGATATGATATACTACATGTAATTTATTGATGAATATAACTAATGACTTTGATATCATTTCCATGTTTTGTAATGGTTATGTACGGGTGTGTTGTGGTTTGTTTAGGCCTAATACTTATACTCATATTAATATCCATTTGTGTTTACTGATGTAATTTAAGTTCGCGCAAGAAGATCTTAGTTCTATTTCCTTTGGAAATATCCTGTATAATTTCGATACACCTCTTTACTGTGCAATTGGGGACGTGCTACGTTGTGGCCACATCAGGTCATTGCACGTGAAATTTGCTAGCTGTTCAAAATAGTTCATTTATCGATACCACCATTCTCGAGCACGATGATAAGGTGAACACATTTTCGTGGAACAACAATCATATGTACGTTGCATGCAGCAAATAAGAAAATGAATATGCAAATCTTTCGTCGCTTCCGTTCAGCCAATCGAGACAGCGATTGTCAACGAAAAGCACATATGATACGGCGTCTGGCCTTAGGGCGTGTTTTTTTTTCTTTCCGTGAATTGCAGGTGTGTTACATCGAGAAATGTTTTTTTTGAATGAATATCAATCGTTTGTGAACTAGTAATACACATTGTAATGTAACATGAACAATACCCTTTCACACAATTGAATGACACTCAAAATACATATATTACATCTCAATATTAATGATACTCACATATTTGAAAACATAGATAAGATTGTATAAACATGTTACAAGATTTAGTTCCCATCAAAAAACATCGAGTACATGACTTAAATTGAATGAACGTTGTTTAAATATAATAACCATTCATGCGTGTATTAATATTATTTATCTGTTATATCCTAGTAGTCAATAGGTCTTGTGTTACATACATTTCCACAACCATAAATATAATTATGACTCAAAATATAAACATGATGCTTAGTCGCGTGATCATTACCTGGCAATAATCATTGTTTGTGAACGCTAACGTTCATGATCTACGAATCCTTGAGTATGCAAGAAATATGAGATAAATAAGATAAGTATGATTTAAAATGTTGCAAGATCAAAAAAAATATTACACTTTTTTAATAAATTTAATATAAGTAATTCCATTAGTTACACCGTGTCGTAATTTTGCGGTATTTTCATCCTATAATATTAAAAAATGCAAATTCCAAATATGGAATGATTGCGCGCGTACGCGTCCTCAAATAATACAAACAAACATGGCTGCCAGCAAGGTTTGACCGGACTTCATACAAAGAAGTTCGCTGATTCTGTTCTAAATTTACTTGGGTTTCGGCAGACCCATGATGTATTATTGTGAGGAAAAGATGTATATAAAAATAAGGTTATTAGGAGGATACCTCAAAGTATGCACGAAGACAGTACGCCGTCGCATCGGCCTCCGCTGTACTGTCTTCGTGCATACTTTACCTTATCCTCGTAATAACCTCATATTATTGTTTTAGTACAAGAATATTAAACTTAACTTGAATAACATTGAAATATACTGGGCAACGTACAACTAATCATCACGTGTTCAAAATTTAGTGGACGTAAGTACTCATATAACTCAAACAATGTGAATCACAACTTCAAAGCTGAACTGCACATTCTGGTCTTACAGAGATTAAATACAGGTATGTGTATGTTGACTCTACAATTATATCGTACATAATGTCTTCAGCACGGAAACAACAACTTTGTGCTAGTGTTATAAAATGTATCTGTCAATTCCAAAATGTTATTTCATCGACATCTATTGTATTACAGTCAAATTTGTCAATTAAAATTTATTTAATTTCAAATAATTTGTCCAAATCGTCGACAAAAACAGCTAAACAACTCTACCACGCCTCTTCTGAATTGTTTTCGTGTGATGACGTAAACCAGTGGATCAATTGTGTGGTTTATCATAACCAATAATATTGATGCTTGTAAGAACTTTAAACTGAACCCTCCAGTGGCAGCTTCCCACATCTCGTACACCTGCAAACAAGTAATTAATGTCACATTAAAAGCGGTGTTTGCTGAAATCTATCTTTACCAAATCAGTGGTTACCATTGATTTCTGACTTTCCTGACGTCCACTATGCAGTGAAACGTATTCGCAATTTATTCTTTGGCACAATATCTATTTATAAACGTCGAGTCAGAATCGGGTCAGTCGTTAAAGATATAGTAGTAAAACGTATGTATATTACTTTCATAGAAGATACTGTCAACTATATAAATTCATGAAAGCTCATGTGGTCACTTGCTAATTAAATAATTACAACCTTTATCAAAAATTTAAATGTGAAGAAATTAAAAAGAATACCACATTTATTTTTGAAAAACGTAGAATAAAACATGAGAAACAGATCAGTCAGAGCGATATTGCATGACTTTTCTTTTTGCTTTTGAGAATCGATATTTGCATTTTAAACAGAATATTCAGAGTGTTCAATCCATTAGAATTCGTAAATTTAATAACAATTGCAACAATCTGATGAATGCCTGCTGAGTAGTGCTCATTTCACTGATCATTTTGATATCAGAATTAAAACAAAGATATATACTACTTTCCAAATCAATAGACGGATAGTGGTGTTGCCGTATTGATTTTTCCAGTAAAATTGGAAAGCATCCTAAAATGTTTTAAAATTATCTCATATTTGACTGACATACTGACATATCTATTATATAACGAAGAATATTTTAAAACCATGTTTAGCATTTATACCGTGATATTTCTCATCAATACATCATTATTGTGTGCAGGTGGGGTTGTATGTGTATGGGTAAGGTATGTATATGACGGAGGATGATTTTTTGGATTCGTAATTAAAACGAAGAATGAATAAAATATAATTACCATAATTGTGCCCCAACAAAGCAAGAATACGGCGGATAACATAAGAATTGTCATGGCTAAACGAAATTCGTTTGTAAGTTTCGGCACCATGCGACGCTCTCCAGTTGTAGGTAATGTCTGGCTGGCTGGTTCAACTACTTTTTGAAGTTTTAACACTTGCCGTACCATGACCACGTTGCAGAAAATTACACTGAGCAAGAGCATAACCGCGCTGCTGGTGTAGAAGATGAAATAAGCTTCGTCATATGGATTGATGAAAGACGAGATGCTTTTGCACATCACTCTGCCTCTCATGTTGAACATGTATGAGCCGAAACCGAACACTGGTAGTAACGTGATAATAGCAGCCGTCAGTATTGCAACCAGAAGCGAGATACGTGTCTTCATTGGTGTTATCAGTGAGTGATATGTGTATGGTAGAGATAGTGCAATACATCTATCCAATGCCATCATCAGTGCTACATATCCAGCCGCGAAAGTGCTGAAATGGGAGATAACTAATTGAAACGAGCAGGTTACCATGCCGTACGTGCGGAGATAAAGCACCAGAGGTCTGGTTATTGAATTCAAAAATGCACCAAGCAAATCAACTAACACTTGCGCTCTCAAGAGAATGTTGGCTGGTATGTTAGGCTGATCCATATACCTGCAGATGATGATAAAGGCGAACCCATTCGCTATTATGCCAATTACGCCGAATAGTGAAATGAGTACTTTGATAAGGTTATTCGACTTAAATGAAAAACTTGCGATATGGACTGATGGAACTATTATAGTC